AAGGTCATTTTGATTTTGAAATGACCTGGTACCTTGGGGTCCATTTGTGTAGTATTATCTGTATAGATCCTTTAATGGAAATGTCTCTCCTACTTTGAATACTTTAATGTAAAAACTATGCTACTATAGTTTCATAGTAACTCTTGAAATCACTGTGAGTTTTCCAACGTTATCCTTCACTTAAAAATTTATTTTGGGGCTGGGGATGTGGCTCAAGCCGTAGCGCGCTCGCCTGGCATGCGTGCGGCCCGGGTTCGATCCTCAGTACCACATACAAACAAAGATGTTGTGTCCACTGAAAACTAAAAAATAAATATTAAAAAAAAATTGTCTATCTGTCTCTCCTCTTTCTCTCTATCTTTAAAAAAAAAAAATTTATTTTGGGAGCTGGGGTTGTGGCTCAGCGGTAGAGCGCTCACCTAGCGTTCAATCCTCAGCACCACATAAAAATAAATAAATAAAATAAAGATATTGTGTCTAGTTACAACCAAAAAATAAATATTTAAAAAAAAATTATTTTGGGAGCTGGGGTTGTGGCTCAGCGGTAGAGCGCTCACCTAGCGTTCAATCCTCAGCACCACATAAAAATAAATAAATAAAATAAAGATATTGTGTCTAGTTACAACCAAAAAATAAATATTTAAAAAAAAATTATTTTGGGAGCTGGGGTTGTGGCTCAGTGATAGAGCGCTTGCCTACCACATGTGAGGCACTGGGTTTGATCCTCATAAAAAATATAAATAAAAAAGTTATCAAAAATTTTATTTGGGGTCTCAGATTGTAGCTCAGTGGCGGAGTGCTTGCCTAGCATTTGTGAGGCACTGGGTTTGACCCTTAGCACCACATAAAAATAAACAAAAGCATTTTGTCCGATTACAACTACAATTTTTAAAAAACTTATTTTGGCTATTTTAGATCCTTTATATTTCTATATAAATTTTAGAACTGATTTGTCCATTTCTGTAGACAGCCTGGTGGGAATTTGATTACGGTAGCATTGTAGTTACATAGCTTAACAAAACCTTCTGAACCTGAATGAACACACACACACACAGTGCTTCATTAATTTAGATTTTAATTTCTCTCAGCAATATCTTATAGTTTTCATGGTACTGGTATCACTCATATTTTGTTGATTTTTTTCTTTACTTCACATTGGGGATTTKGGGCATAAAGCCTATTTTTATTTTTTGCTTAGAAAATCTTTTTTTAATTGCTTGTATTTTTAAAATACATGTCAGAATGCATCACAAATCTTATTACACATATAGAACACAATTTTTCCTTAGAAAAATCTTAGTGTTAAATACATATAACATAAAAGTTACCATCTTTACCAGTTTTAAGTGCATAAGTTTAGCCTATTTAATTTTTTATGCTATCATAAATAGCATTTTTAAAAAMATTTTTGCAATCTCTAGGTGAATAGAACTATAAGTGATTTTTGTGTATCAGCCTTGTATTCATCCCTGTTGCTAAATTGATAGCCTGGTTATTTCTTTGTAAATTATTGGAGGCTATTGAAGTTCAGATGTAATGATAACATTCATTTATTTCTTTCTGTGTACCTGGCATTACTCTAAATAGTCTGCCTAGGTCAGATTTCCATCATTATAATAAACACCTGAGATAAACCAAATTATTAAAAGAAAGGTTTTTTGGGCTGGGGATGTGGCTCAAGTGGTAATGCGCTCACCTGGCATGCGCGAGCCGCTGGGTTCGATCCTCAGCACCACATAAAAATAAAAAAATAAAGATGTTGTGTCTGCTGAAAACTGAAAAACAAAAAATATTAAAAAAGAAAAAAAAAAGAAAAGAAAGTTTTTACCTGGACTCCCAGTTTTGGAGGTTTCTATCCATGAGTGGCCGGCCTGTGGCTCTGGGCTGCATGTCCTGGGAGAAGCATGTGGTGGAACAAACCCTCTTACCTTGTGACCGGGGAGCAACAGAAAGCAAGGAATTAGCCAGGTCCTTTGCAAGGGCCCCCAGTCACCCAAAGTCATGCTCCTGGGCCCCACCTCTCAAAATTTCCAAGTGCCACCTTGAGGACTAAGCCTTTACCCACATGGGCCTTTGGGTGACACTTCAGATATAAACTATAGCAGCGTCCCTCATAGATTTACTTTGATTCAGTCAGACCCACAGCATCCCCAGGAGACTGTCTTTGGAGGCTCAACAGTTTTCCCGTGGTCCCATGACCCAAGTGTCATCGGAAACTTGGGATGGGTAAGGGCACTTAGGACGGCAGACTTGGAGTAAGGCCAAAAGTTCCTTTCCTGAGCACGTGCTGTGTGCAGGCGCAGTGCTGGGACTGGCGTGCACCAGTGAGTTCGTCCTGCTCCCTGTTACTGGGCATGGACAGCACAGCCTTCTGAGGAAGAGACTCGGTGACACAGGGGCAGCTTGTGGTCACGGCTGTGATCCTTGAGGCTCAGGAAACCTGAACGCTCTCTTCCAGTCTCAGGGCAGGAGAGCATGGCGGTGAGGACTCAGACCTGGGGCCACACTGGGCTCTGCCACTCACGTGACCCTCAGCAAGTCACTAGCCCTCTCTGAGCCTCAGATTTTTTTTTTTAATCTGTACAGAATCTGTCCACCACTGTGGTGTGTCACTTAAGTCAGCCCTTTATGCAGAGTGGCTCTCTCTACTTGTGGCCTGCAGACGGGCCCTGGCCCAAGAGGAGAGAAGCATAGAATGCGTCACAAGACGGAGCTTATATGTGACTGGAAGCTTTGATGACAGTTTGGACATTCACACTACATGACGCAGTGAAAATTAACAAAATGGAATAAAACTGACCGTCTCCGCAGATGGTTGGTGAAAACTGGGCTCTCACCACATTTGAGTCAGCCTTTTGTTCCTGGGACCAAAGTACCTGGCAAGAACAAGTTAGAGGAAAAAAGGTCTGTTTTGGCTCATGGTTTCCATGGACCGAGTCCAGCTCCATCCCTTTGGGCCTGAGATGAGGTAGAACATGGGGATGGCAGAGCTTGGCAGAGGAAAGCTTCTCCACCCATGGCATCCAGGAGCAGAGAAGGAGGACGTGGGCCAGGGAGGAGAAGGACCTACCCAGTGACCTACCTGCTTCCCCCAGCACGGTGCCATCTCCCAGCAGTCCATCTGCCTTAGGTGGATCATCATGTGACCGCCTCACGTCAGATTGGTCATGTACACAGCTGTAGGCATGAGAAGGTGCGTGCTTCATAGGTGGTGACGAGATGTAGGCAAGAGGGTGGACTGTGGCACTCTCCTGTGTGGGCTCCAGGTTCCCACCTCCTCTGCCTCCAGGCCTCCACGTGTCCTCTCCCTGGCCTGGTACCTGGGAGGAGTCCTGGCCAGGAGGACGGCCCCTGGGGTCGGCCCACCCACAGTCCATCTGCCTGTGGCACTGTGACTTAACCCTCTCGGAGCCATCTAGTGAATCTGGTGGCATCCTGTGACTTTGGCCTTGAGGACTTCAGAATTAAAGCACCCTTCCTGTGGGGGCAAGGCTAACCCCAAAATGACCCACTCCTTCCTTTTGTACAATTGTTGATGGGTGCATCTGAGCAAGTGCCCGTCGAGACATGGGACCTCTCCTCAAGGGATCTGCAGTTGGGTGGGGCAGGTGGATATGCACCAGCTAATGTAAGCTGCTGAGGCAGGGAAAAGCCCGACTGTGACGAGATCAAGGCCATCGTGGGGGGGGGGGGCACAGGGAGAGAGGCAAAGCTGGGCTGCTCGGGGCAGGTGCCTGCTCCCATCTCTGCAGAACCTGCCCTGATCCCTGCGATCACAGAGCACCATAGTGGCTGGGGTGGGGGGGTCAGTGGCCACCCCTGGCAAGGCCCTGGATGTGCTGAATTTCTAGGGCTCTGGGGAGGCCTAGCACACTATTCTTCTGGCCAGAGGACAGCCACCCTCATTTTACTCAGGGGGCTATGAGACATTCGGACTGAGCCTGAATGTCTGCAGCAGGACGGCAGCTGCCACACTGCACTGTCTCTGCAGCTCGGGGCTCCCTTGGCCCAAGCCACCGGCGCCGTGTAGCTGTTGCAACTTGTGGTATCTGTTCACAGCAGCTCTGGGGGGAGGCGTGCCCTCTCCTGCCCTCCTCTGCTTAGACCTCCCCCTGGCCCAAACCCCTAGTCGTGTGTGAGCCGAGGTGCAGCGATCTAGGAGGATGTCCAGGTGGCTAGATAGCGTGAAGCAGGGCAGAGCTGGGCTGATGGGCAGAGCTGGGATTGCTCACTCAGGATGTTCCCGGGGAGCCGGGTGGCTGTGCTTGGGCCGCGCTGGGTGGTGGGAGGGCACGCCCCTGTGGGAAATGGAGGGGTGCCAGGAGAGGGAAAGGCCTGCGCAGAGCCCCCCGTGGCCAGGGTGCGTGTGGCTTGCCAGGCCCGAGTCTTTCCCTGCCCCGTGAGTGGGGGCAGCCATCACCCCCCAGCACTGTAGCTTTCCCTGTCCTGCATCCCTGCAGACTCCTGCCCCGTCTTCCTCAGCACCCGGACAGCAGCTGCTTCAAGTGCTCACCCTTTGCACTTGGGTGGAGGTCAGGAGCCCCTGTGGCTTCCCCTGGCCCCTCGGACGGCTTCTCTGTGACCCTCACAGTGTTCTGCCACTGACCTGAACCCCAACCCGCTAGAAGCTCCCCGAGGGCAGAGCTGCCTTTGTCTTTCTCAGGCATGTCGGGGAGGAAGCAGGACCTGTGGGGCACAGCGCCGGCCAAYGTGGCTGTCCTTTGTGGGGGCATGTAGCCCCGGAGGCACCGGGTCTGGGTTTGTCACAGCCCTGCTGCATTCTGACTACAGAGTGGGGACAAGGGACACATGGCCCCCAAGCGCCAGCATCCTGGGTCATCTCGTCCCCCCCTGCATAGAGCTTTTGAGAGCTAGCCCCTGGTGTCAGCCCCTTTTCTTCTTAGTGCTGAGGTCCTAAGCTGTCCCCCCTTGGGAAGGGCCTGGCTGCCCCAGAGCTGCCTGATGTCACTTTGCTCTCCTCCCTCCCCGTTGGCCTCCAGTATGCCTGGGTCGAGAAGCACTTCGGTCCCGACTTTCTGGAGCAGATTGTGCTGACCAGGGACAAGACTGTGGTCTCCGCTGACATCCTCATAGACGACCGGCCGGACATCACAGGCAAGTGGCCAATGGCAGGGAARGCGCGGGTGGGCCGGCCTCGGGACTCATGTCTCCCTTCTCCCCAGTGGTCACCCCCAGCTGCCTCCTCGCCCCTGCCTGCCTACGCTGTCCGCAGGAGCGTGTCAGGTGTCCACTGTGCAGCCCACACTGAGCTGCCTCCTGGGGACTTCTGGGGTTGGGATCCGTCTCCAGGTTTAGGCCTCATTTGCTGGGTGGCCTTGGGGAGTCACGTTGCATCTCCAAAGCCTTGCCTCCTTCCTCATGGAGAGCCAGGACCTGGCTCTGGTTTTCAAACCTTTGTTTTTAGTTAATGCCCCCCTCCCACCCCCAAATACACATTTTTTTTTCCTCTCAGAAGCAATCTGGACTGAGCCTAAGGTATGGCAGGCAAGCAGAACATGGTTTCTCTGGCTGAAGGTGGTTTGGAATTGCATTTGTCCCATTTGCTTATAGATGCCCCCCTCCCCCAAATGAAATAGTAAACCTGACTTTTGAAGGAAGAGGACACATCATTGGTTCACGTAGCTGGGAGGGTGGGATAGGAGAGCCTCGGGCCCAGCTGAGTCAGCCTCCTGCTCTCCGGGCCCTGCCCTGGCCTGGTCTTGCCAGCATCTGTGGGCAGGGCTCTCTCTTGGTTTCGGTCATCAGTAGTTTAGGGTCGTGGGCTGCTCTTTTGGACACCCCCAATAGGAAGAGACTTTTTCTTTCCTAATGGCTTTTGGAACTGGTTTGGGAACATGTCCATCTCTTCTCCAGACCTCTGTGTCCAGAGGTCCACGGGTGCATTCACCCTGACTTCATGGGTGGGCCAGCCCCTCTCAACCATGTGGTTTCCCAGGGAGACCCAGGGTCACAATTGCCCATGGGGACTGTGACCTCCAGGAGCCCAGAGGCCACTTGGAGCAGGAGGAGGCCTGTGGGAAGGAGCTGGTGGGGGGCATAACCTGAAGGGGCAGATCCACCAGCAGCACCCGTGTGGACAGAAGGATGGAAGCTCAGGGGGCACATGGCCAACAGCTGCATGGTTGGTGCCTGCCTGTTCCTCCCCCACAGGCCAGCGCTGGGTGGCTGGGCACAGAGAGGGCAGGGCAGGCTGGACACCTGGCTCAGCGCAGACCCTGCCCCGGCAGGTCAGATGCAGCACACTGTCTCCGTGATGAGTGGAGCGCTTCCCACGCGCTGCACCAGGTGTCTGGCGTGAGGTGCCTGTTGGGTCCTCATGCCTCCCATGGCAGGCTCTGGCGCAAGCACCCTTTACGGGAGAGGAAACTGAGTCATCGAGGATACTCAGGACCTGGTCCCCGGCTGCGCCCTGGGGCCCCGGCCTCGGAACTGAGCTGTTACTTTCTCACCCACAGGGGCAGAGCCACACCCCACCTGGGAGCACGTTCTCTTCACGTCCTGCCACAACCAGCATCTGCAGCTGCAGCCCCCCAGCCGCAGGCTGCTCTCGTGGGCAGACGACTGGAAGGCCATTCTGGACAGCAAGCGGCCCCACTGAGCTGGACTACGCTTGGGGCTCCTCCACGGGGCCCTGATCTCAGGGCTCCCAGCTCGGGGCCAGTGGGACCGTGGGGACAGCGCTGTGCTGGGGCCCCCCAGGTGTCTGGGTCACGATGACCTCCTGCTGCGTGGCCCTTCCCCTCCCGGCCCTGCCAGGCCTTAACCTGATCTTGGGGCAGGGCTGGGCGCCCTGGAGCCTGGGACAAGGCGGTTTGGTCTGACCTCAGGCACTGGCCCTTAGCTGCCAGGTGAGGAGTCCAAGCCACTCTTCAGAGGCCCTCTCTACCCTTTTGGTAAGTTCCCTGAGGTGTCAGGGGTTCACTGGTCCCAGGGTCGCAGCCCATCAGCAGAGAGTGCCAGGAGCGTGACCGCCAAGGTGCTTCCGGTGGGCATGAGCCCCTCACCGCCTCAGCCTGGCCCCCCGCGTCCCACCTGGCCTCTCCAAGTGACCCCTCGTGTATTTAGAGAATCCTCAGGGGGTTCCAGGGGCCACCAGGCTCCGTCCTAGGAGACAGCTCTGGCCGGGCCTGTGACCAGCTCCGCAGTGTCTCCCTCCCCTGTCCCCGGGCCCACTCCGCCCAGGAGAGTCAGCAGGCTTGAACGTTTGCGGAACGAACGAGAAATAAATGCTGTTCACATATGGCCTGAGCCGTGGCCTCCTGTAGCCCCTGCCCCACGATCCTCTGGCGTCTGGCCCCGACGGAGCCCTGCTGTGTGTCAGGGGTCCCAAGGGGCAGAGGAGGGGCACGGCTTCCCCCGTGCTGGGCCTTCCAAGGTGACCTCGTGGGGTGCAAGGTAGGACGACCCTGATGTGGCAGAGCTACAGCCTTGGGGGTGTCCTTGGTCTACCCACCTGCCCTGGTCCTCCCTCCACACCTGCCCTGTGCCCCCCCTGGCCCACTCAGTGGGGTACAGGGCTCCCTGCCCTCCTCCCAAGGCCAAGCTCCTGCAAGCTCCCAGGAGCTCATGTTAGAACCTTGGCTTTTGTTCCTCTCGAGCCCCTGGGCAGTGACAACCTTGGGGGCCTTTGTCCTTAAAGAGAACATAGGCTGTCCACACCCCTAATTTGCCCCTCTGGACAGGCCTTTCGGGGCTGCTCTGGGGAGCGAGGCCAGGTGGGAAGGCAGGGCAGGAAAGGCACACCCCGGGCCAGGTGAGCTTGGTGGCTTCCCGGCTCTCAGGGTCTCGTGGCTTAGGCCCCGTCTCCCCAGCTGAGGGAGCAAGGGCCCCTCTGGGCTTGGCCAGTCACAGCCGTCCATGGTGCCACATGGCAACTTGCAGACTCTGTCCCTACCTGGGCTTTAGCCCTTGGACTGAGGGAGAGGCTTGGCAGGTCATTCTGACCAGTAATAAGTTGGGGCTATGCCACATGCTCCAGAAGCCACCAGCCCTCAGGGCCATGTCCAGAGGAGTCCAGGGCTCAGAGGCCCAGCTCCCCAGCTGCTCCTAAGACGCCCTACTGCTGTGACACAAGGTGAGTCACTTTCTTGTGTTTCCTGGCGGCTGGACGTCGCTGTCTTCCTCTCCACCTGCCCATCACCTCTCCACGCTGCCTACAGCCAAGTCCTTATTGGGGGTGGGGGGTCCTCCAGCCCTGGGCGGCCCAGGACCTTGCAGCCTCGGGCCACAGCACTGAGAGCGCCTTCCCCAGGACTTGGCCCTCAGGGCTTTGGGGTGGAGAGGGGCTGTTGTGCACCTACTATGTGCTAAACCCAAGGACACAGCCGTGAATGAGGTGCCGCCAGCCCTGCCCTGAAAACACCGTGACCATAACTTGAGGAGCAAAAAGYGACTTGCCTTCTTTCTGCCATTGAGAGAGGAACAAACCTGTGGCTTCCTCAGCCCTGTCTGGTGTTTTCCTCCTCCTCCTGCCCAGGGAGCACCCAGGCCCAGGGTGGACTTCACGCAGGGAAGCCTGCAGGTCTTGCCTCTGGTCTCCAGCAGTCCTTATCTTTGTGCTGAGGACACCCAAAGCAGTGTCCACTGACCCTGGGTGAGCGGGAGGAACAGAGGCCCCTTCTGTTCACACATGTTGGAAAATACTTAAGAGCAGAGAGGGGCGGCCTGGTCCCCTCTCCTGCCTGAAATCCCTCCTGGCCTGAAACCCTGTCTGTTTTCCCTCTCTCGCAACCCAGGGGTTTTGTCCAGGGCTGGGCTGGCCCAGCTCTTCTGTCTATTCCTACAAAAGCTACAGCAGGAAAGTTGGGCTCCCAGTCTTTCTGGACGCTGGCTCCTTGGAAGCCCGATCCTTTGGAAATGAACGTGGCCCTGAGTTTTAAAACCCAACCCCACAGCTGCTGCGTTTGTTCTCTGCTCAGCCAGTCACTCCCCCAGGTGCAGACCCTTGAGCTGCTACAGTTTAAGGAGGAGAAGTAACTGCAGGGGAGAAGATGCTTCAAATGCAGTCCCACCCGCTGAGCCATCTCCAGGTGGACAAGTGGTTGGGAGCAGGAGGAGGGGCCCCAGAGCTCAGCTCCAGGTTGGCCCTGACACAGGCTGTGCCACTGAGGTCTAGGTGGGAGGGAGGGGAGAGCCCCCGGTTGCAGGGACATGTTGCAGGAGAGACTGGGGCAGGAGGTGCAGCCTGGCTAGAAATGCAGGGCGTCGGACTGCTGCCGAGTGCTGCTGCCCACAGTGTGCCCGAAGCTGCCGGGACCCAGGCCAGGACCCCAAAGCTTCACTGTCTTGTCGGATTTTACCTAGTTTAGGAGTCCACTTCCCCACAGGGGAGCTGAGCTTGGATCTGCCTCGAGACAAGACAAGGTCCTTGCCCTGGGGACACCTGGCTGGCCACTGGTCCCTTGCCTTGTGACCCCTGGCTGGCCTCTTGACGGCTCTGCTCTTGTCAGACATTGAGATTCACCCCGTTGAGTACTGGAAGCCAGGTGCAGTGGCATATGCACCTGTAATCCCAGCTACCCTGGAGGCCAAGGCAGGAGGATCACAAGTTCAAGGCCAGCCAGGACAACTCACCGAGACCCTGTCTTTTTTTTTTTTTTTTTTGAGAGATTTTTTTTTTAGTTTTCGGCGGACACAACATATTTGTTTGTATGTGGTGCTGAGGATTGAACCCGGGCCACACGCATGCCAGGCGASCGCGCTACCGCTTGAGCCACATCCCCAGCCCCAAGAGACCCTGTCTTAAAATTTAAAAAATTCAAAGAAAGGCTGGAGATGTAGCTCAGTGGTAAAGTGTCCCTGGAACCAATCCCCAATACTGCAAAAGAAGGAAGGAGAAAAAAGAAAAAATTTTGTAGGTCGGAGGTAAGAGTGCTTCCTAGCTTGCATGAGGCCCTGGGTTCAATCCCCAGGACTGAAAAAATAAGAAAAAAAAAAGGAAGAAAATGAAATATTGGAAATATTCAGAAACTCTAGGATGGGAGCCCCTAGAAGGAGCCACGTCCCCTCGGGGGAAGGAGATGGGGAGTCTGCCATGACAGTAATGTAGGGGGCAGGTGGGATGCCCGGGCCATACTCACGGGTGTGAAAGAACCTTGCCTCTGCTTTTTGGTCCTGGCAGGTGACAGAGGCATCCCACTCCCGGGGGGTGGGGCAGGCCGCTCCCGGGTGTGAGGCAGCAGAGACCCAGGGGCTTCCTCAAGGCCCAGGTCTTTGCTTCGGTCAGCCGTGTGCAGGAGGGCGTGTAAGGGGCTCAGGGCCCTCCTGCCTGGGCCACCTTCCTCCTCTCTGCGGGGCTCCTTTGCACGACTCAGGTCCCACTGTTTGGTCTGGTGGAAATACCGCCCATGCACAAGGAGCGTTGGTCGGGTGTCCTGCCCTCTCAAAGGGCCACACGGAATCGCTGGCCGACTATCGAGCTGTCACGACATCACTTGCCCCTTACTGCTCACTTCTTCTACGGGGTGCACGTCCTGTTGGGGACACCAAATAAAGGCAGGAAGTCCTCCCCGCTGCCATGGCGCGTGGGTCTCTTGGGCTCAGGTGGCCCTTCCTCTGCACAATGACACCGTGGAGGCTCTGGGAGGCAGCCAGCCTGTCCCAGCATCTGGTGCTCTTCTGCCAAGTCCCTTCAGCACTAGCCTCTGTGGACAAGTGGCCTGAGTTCAAGACAGAACCGGCCACAGCTCCCCAGCTGTCCCCTGCCCCGTAACAAGCACTGCCCACTCCCTGGACTCCCTCCTCCCACCTCTCCAGGCTCATGCCGCCATCACAGGTCTGCCAATGGAAAGGCCTCCCGGCCAGGCACCAGACTGCCACGTACCCGTGTCAGAAATGCAGCTCAGGCCTGCTAGTGAGCAAAGCTTGTGCCCACGGAGCCCAGGCGTGCTTTGGTGCAGGGGACTAAGCAGCGTGTCCAGAACTTTCTCCACCTTCCTGGTTCATTGGACCCTGTCTCACTCTCCGTTCTATTTCTCTATCTCCCTTTGACTGGCAAACTCTTCCCCACGGCAGAGCAGCCAACACCAGCATCTCCAACCCAGGCTCCATGCCCGGAGCCACCAGCTGGGCTCCTCAGCCACAGCAGAAGCATCACAGAAAGGGCCAGAAGGACGAGTGGTCATATTAGTGGCAACTGCAGTAGCAGGATCTGTGACAAGGGCTTTGATTTATGCCTAACAGCCTCACCACTTGAGGCTTGCCGAGACGCGGTGACTGGTATAAAGTCAAGACATCCCCCTCCCTGAGCATGTCCAGGTCCTTTGAAGACCCAGGCTACAGATCAGAGCGGGCACTGCAGAGACTCATCCTGCAACCCAGGAGGACAGTTTCCAAATGAGATTTGCTTGAAGCATTTGGGTGGAAGCATCCAAATGCACAGGTGTTGGGTGAGATATGGCAGGACAGAGGATGAACACTGTGAGCACCATGGCATTTGGCTGGGTGCATCCTGTGTCAGGCCCCACAGGTGTGGGACGTCACCAACGGCACTTCTTATTTTTGTAGCACTGGGGATGGAACCCAGGTCCTTGCACATGCTAGGTGAGCTCTCGACCACTGAGCCACTCTCCTGGCCTGTACCACACATCCCTTTTTAAGCCCTCGGGGTTTGTGGTTGGAGCCTTAGGTGGGTGGGCACGGTCCTCTGCAATGGTTTGACCTTCTTTACG